TCTCCACTTAGTATAGTTGAGCTTTATCGGAATGTATACCCTGGAGATTGTATACTATACTAGTGGAAATTTATCGTAACGTATACCCTGGAGATTATCGAGGATGGTCCGTTGTGAGGTGAGGTGAGGTGAAATTGGGTTTATCGTCGTCCTTGAGAATATTTCGCTCATATGACGACTAACATGCGTGTGTATGTGTATGTGCGGCTGCTTGTTCTATCCCAGACTTCAGCTGGTTTTATAGTGCTAGCCCACTGAGATACCATGCCGCAGTGAAGCATGAATACCCCACTCAGACACATTATACTGACTCCGAGCCTACCAGTCCTTGTTGTACCCATTAATGCCGAGCGCCAAGCAGGGACCAACAAGTACCATATTTTAACATCTGTTGGTATGACGCGGCCGGGGATCGAACCCGCGACCTTCCGCTCCCCGGGCGGATGCTCTAACCACTACACCACGGAGGCGGTTCTGGTCCGTTGTGAGATCGGAGGGGTGCGCAACCCCCGTTTTGTCCTGAAAGTTTATTAAATGACCATTGAAACTCTCGTGAAATTGAAGTGTGCCACTCCACACCCGACCCTTTGTCAAGAGTGCGCGCGCACGCACGCACGTAACACACACACACACACACACACACACACACACACACACACACACACACACACACACACACACACACACACACACACACACACACACACACACACACACACACACACACACACACACACACACTTTTCTCAAAAAGCTGTATCCGCCCCTGGAACATGTGCAGGAACGGTTGATCTACACATAAGTCATTGCTCAAGATATTCCGACGACGCATGATAATGCAAAGTTTATGTCTTGATAACATATACAGGATGTAATCAAGTCATTTCATACTGACAACTCCGTAAATTCCGTTACATTCCAAGTGGTAGTGTCTGGCTCGGGAAAACGAGAAGGCTGTGACGAAGAAGAGTAGTCCGCCATTGATAGTGAACGTAACCTCAGCAATGTCACATTCAAGCACACTGGGTGCACCTAATTACACACACTCAATAGTTTTGGCTCCGGTCAATGGGAGCACATTGAACGTACACTGGTACACAAGTACAGATCCCCAATGTGCAGAGATATCCAAAACAATCTTCCGATGACGACAACCACCAAACGATGACGTCACACGCTCAAGTATTTCATGCTTGCAAGAATTAAAATTGTCCACATTTACATGGTAACATCATCGTTTTAGAGTGTTTAATTAATTTTCTGTGATCTTATCTACTTTGCATTATCACTACTGGCTTGATGACGCGAAGAGGTGGCAGTTACGTTTTTGTGGACTGACTGACTGACTGACTGACTTACGCCGCTTTTAGCAATATTCCAGCAATATCACGGCGGGGGACACCAGAAATGGGCTTCACAAATTGTGCCCATGTGCTTTTTTGTGGAGGGTCACCATGGCGATGAGTAGTGATTAGGAAGCCAAGTGACGTTACTCATTCATAAACGTTGTGTTGTGTATTATTGTGCCGCTACGATGAGAAAATATGAAATTTGAAACTATTCGACCATAAAAAGGTGCGATTGCATGATGTGTAAGAAACAGATTACTGTACTCGTGTCTGCCAGATACCATTTATCTTACAACGAGTTGTTTCAAAATGTACTCACTCCTACAATTCCTTGTGGCAGTAGCCTATGTGTAGGGGTGTTGACAACTAATAATAGTATCCCTATCCACTGGTCCCCTCTGATGATCCAATAATAGTATCCCTATCCATTGGTAAGATGATCCAATGGTCCCCTGATGATCCATCCAATACTAATATCCCTATCCACTGGTCCCCTCTGATGATCCAATACTAGTATCCCTATCCACTGGTCCCTCTCTGATGATCCAATAATAGTATCCCTATCCACTGGTCCCTCTGATGATCCAATAATAGTTTCCCTATCCACTGGTCCCTCTGATGATCCAATAATAGTATCCCTATCCACTGGTCCCTCTGATGATCCAATAATAGTATCCCTATCCATTGGTCCCTCTGATGATCCAATAATCCCTCTGAGTCCAATAATAGTTTCCTATCCACTGGTCCCTCTGATGATCCAATAATAGTTTCCCTATCCACTGGTCCCTCTGATGATCCAATAATAGTATCCCTATCCATTGGTCCCCTCTGATGATCCAATAATAGTATCCCTATCCATTGGTCCCCTCTGATGATCCAATAATAGTATTCCTATCCATTGGTCCCTCTGATGTCCAATAATAGTGGTCCCCCTATCCACTGGTCCCTCTGATGATCCAATAATAGTTTCCCTATCCATTGGTCCCCTCTGATGATCCAATAATAGTATCCCTATCCATTGGTCCCCTCTGATGATCCAATAATAGTTTCCCTATCCACTGGCCCCTCTGATGATCCAATACTAGTTTCCCTATCCACTGGTCCCCTCTGATGACATCACAACCAGAACCTAAATGGCCAGGGTACCCACATGCAGGTGTCTTACCTGAGGTTGTCTGTCCTGGTACGTTTACCTAAAGGCCGAGACTGCAGCAAGCTAGGTGCTGCTACGGAGATACAGCTGTACCCTGTTGGACATACCTGTTCTCCCCTCCATGTAGCATTTTGTCCACACCCTGTCTCTTTCTCTTCATTAACCACTCTGAGTTGCCTGTCCTCGTAGCTCTCTAGAATGGGCTGTAAACATGACTGACCCTGGTATACGTGAACAGATATTATCTGCGTCTGTTGTTTTTTAATCTTTGAGATTTCTGCTTTCATATCCTTCATCACGCCCTTTAAATCCCAAAGGTGTCGATATCGGCAGTCTCAGCAGTCGAGTCCATCTTCAGAGTAACTGACTTGGGTTTGGTCTTAAGTGCATTTTGTTTCCCAGGGCACTTTCTTAAGTCATCAAAATTAGATATGGTATCATATTTGTATCGAGATAGACTCTAAAGATACCAGTGTAAATCATCCCACAGTCGTGAACACAGCATCTCATCCTGTTCCGGGGCGGTGGGGTAGCCTAGTGGTTAAAGTGTTGGCTCGTCACGCCGAAGACCCGGGTTCGAATCCCCACATGGGTACAATGTGTGAAGCCCATTTCAGGTGTCCCCCGCCGTGATGTTGCTGAAATAATGCTAAAAGCGGCGTAAAACTAAACTCAGTCAGTCAGTCAGTCATCCTGTTCCTCTCATTAGATGTGCTTCAGTTCAGTTACTTGGAACATCGGCCTCTCCAACCTACAACTCCAGGTTGCCACATCCTCATCAGCCCCCAGAATTTTGCGATACTTGTGTTTAGACCTAATTCCATAGAAACTAAGGCTGCTAAGAAAAGAAGTCTTCTTTAAAGGATTTCCGAATGGCTTGCAATACTACCTCTGGGCTGCTTGGCTTACTCACCAGGCGGCAATCCACCTTATATCTCCAAAGGTCATACTCTGTATCTTTAATTCCATTTACCATTTTAACTTGACCAAACCTGTGTACACGTAACTGACCTTTTGAAAACATGGATATGTGTTTAACAATGATTGCAGATATAAATTAGGATTGTATACGCTCGCCATCAGAATCACACGGGGATATAACCTAGATTGAGAGTATTACCTTCTCGGTTTAACTTTTATCAGGGTGTAATGTTCATGTGTATAACTTTCATGTTTGTTTTGGGGCTTTATAGAGTAAACGGTGATTATGTGCTGTGAGTGAAATATGTTTTTACGGGACTGTAAACCATTTCTGTTGGTATTTGCTGCTCGAGTTCCGATTTACAGCACACGTGGTGGCGCTTGTTTTGATTTATTAACCTCTCAAAGTATCTACTTAAATATACGAGCTGTTTAAAAATGATAAAAACACGATTCAAGCGCAAAGGTAAACAAGCATTCCGAAAGACGGTGTTAAAAGGTAGGAGCTACGATCAGCGCCCAGGCGACAGAGTGGAACACGGGACAAGGGCATACAGCATCAAACACTGCTCTGTGATTATCATCGGGATCCCCGTCAAGTTACTGCTCTGTGATTATCATCGGGGTCCCCTCAACCCCCATGCCTGACCTACCTACACCACAAGTAAACCCTCGATTCACCCTCCGTTAGCCTGTACACATTTACTATCAATACTGTATCTTGATACTATGGAAGACTTTCGCGTAAGTGACACAGCGAATAGGGCATCACAGTGATTCACCCAGCTCCATTGAAAGACGTTCGGAGTAAACCAGACAACCAGAGTTTGACACGAATGAAGATGAAAATTCGAGTTTAATAAAATAACATCGCTGGCTTACAAGCAACCAAAGTCTCTTCAAACAGTAGGAACTGCAGATCAAATATCCAACTGAACAAAACACAATTACAAATGGTGAGATAGTAAATACTCTCTGGTGTTTATCAGCAAACAGAAGTTGAGCAACATATTGTCGTCGTTTTACCCACTACAGTGGACGTCGTCACGACCGCTTGACACATCATACTGACATTTGTTCTAACTCCAAACCTAAAAATTGTTCTGTAATACACATCATCCATCCACTTCATCCATCACGACATCTTTTAACGTGTCCATTAAAAGGCTGAAGTGGATAGATGAAGTATATTAGAGAACAAATGGTAGGTGTAGAGAACAAATGGTAGGTTTAGAGAACAAATGGTAGGTTCAGAGAACACATCTTAGGTTTGGAGAAGTGTCTTCCAGTTTATTACTTAACAGAATTTAATATTTTAAATGCACGTCAGAAAACACATTTAAGACGTCATCCTTACATGAAAGGAAGAATATATTATCTTGATTTAGTTTGTGTGTTATTAGTTGAACGTGAGAGGTATGGCTAGTAAGTATTTAGCTAAGCGCACGTAATATATATTTCTACATGGCTTCCAAAGCTGGTTCCGGTTGGTTCCGGAGGCAACTCGTCTCTGAGCAGTCGTTCAAATATACGCCGTTCTAGCAATACACTTCTCCCGGAAGGCTACAGACGCTTATTTCTGGTGTGCTCCGCTGTGATATTTGCTGGAATATAGCTCAAAGCGGCGTTAAGGCTCACTTGTCATCGTATGAATGATCCGTTAGACTGAGCAGAGAAGTAAATGAATTTGTCTGAGGAAAATCTGTTGCGGGTAATTTGAGATCGCGAGAACCAGGTGAAGAAACCCAGGGTATCGTGTAGGTTTGCCGACATGCAAGCTCTTGGGACATATATCATTCTCAAGCATAAGTTGTAGTGCGGAAGAATCACATGCTCCTTCTGCAGGTGCTCTAGATGATGTTGGCGACCAGACTGGCCTTGTCGTGCATCTCATGGGGTTGGTACTCCACCTGGAGGGGAGTGTACCCTGTTGGCGTCGTCCGTATCATCCTCGGCATCACACCGACGACAGTGGCGGTTGTGTTGGGGGACCTATGGATGATGATGCCCACAGGCTGTGAAGGAAGTATTGAGTCAGTTTTAGTTTTAACGCCACATTTATCAGGTACAGCACAACATGAAGTGATTTAGGTCTTGGACCTTTATGATTCTAATAAAATTGGTGTTGACAAACTTAGAAGCAATCAGGGCGAAAAGAAAGTCGAACCTAAAACATAGCTGTGGAATGCAACAGTGCAGAGCGAATTTGGGAGTCAGTGTTACCAACCTTACTGAGATGACATGTGTCATGTGTTACTGGGATGACATGTGTCATGTGTTACTGAGATGACATGTGTCATGTGTTACTGAGATGTCATGTGTTACTGAGATGACATGTGTCATGTGTTACTGAGATGACATGTGTCATGTGTTACTGGGATAACATGTGTCATGTGTTACTGGGATGACATGTGTCATGTGTTACTGAGATGACATGTGTCATGTGTTACTGAGATGTCATGTGTTACTGAGATGACATGTGTCATGTGTTACTGAGATGACATGTGTCATGTGTTACTGGGATAACATGTGTCATGTGTTACTGGGATGACATGTGTCATGTGTTACTGAGATGACATGTGTCATGTGTTACTGAGATGACGTGTCATGTGTTACTGAGATGACGTGTCATGTGTTACTGAGATGACATGTCATGTGTTACTGGAATGACATGTGTCATGTGTTACTGGGATGACAATTGTCATGTGTTACTGGGATTACACCCTGGTGTTTGATGCTAACAATCAGCTTCCGATATTAAGCGCTACCCAAAGGTGAGTGAGTGAGTGAGTTTAGTTTTACGCCGCACTCAGCAATATTCAAGCTATATGGCGGCGGTCTGTAAATAATCGAGTCTGGACCAGACAATCCAGTTATCAACAGCATGAGCATCGGTCTGCGCAATTGGGAACCGATGACATGTGTCAACCAAACCAGCGAGCCTGACCACCCGATCCCGTTAGTCGCCTCTTACGACAAGTACACAAAGGTTGGTATGTTGTAACAGTCACAGTTAGCAATATACCCGCTGTATGACAGCGACCTGTCGGTAGTAGGTCTGGAGCTTATAATTCCTGTGGTTGATATAATGATCAACGATCCTGTGGGTGTGATGACACACAACCCACTACGTTCTACAACCTCACCGGCCGTTACGTCGCAGCATACGACGTATTAGCACAGGGTGCCAATTACACAACTATTGGGCTGTCTAACGCCTCTTAGACGGTATTGAGTTATACCACAGCGCATCATCGGATGGAGGTGACGCAGGCTATAGATGTTCACAGTTACTGGTGATGTTGCATGGATGTTGTTATGAAGCCGCTTACCTCGCGTCTGCAGCCGAGGATGCCGGAGAGAACAGTGCCGACAAGGGAGAGAACCCATGCTACGATAAAGACGAGAGCGAGCACGATAGTCATGGCGTAGATGCTGTGCAAGTCGTCACAGGTCATTGGTACTGGCTCCGAATTCCTGTTTTATCCCATGGAAGATTTTATTATTTGGTGGCAGTATTTCATATTTAAAATTGCTCGTGTTTTTTGTAGTCGTTCGTGATATCATTCAGATATCAGCGTTACAGCAATCACTAATACTATTATTCGGAATGCTATAATAACAATGTACAGATAGACCAATTGCAATATCCAGCGTACACGGGATAAACCACAGGCAAATTGTAGCGCAAATAGGGCTGCCCAACAAAGAGAAAATGACCAGTCTTCCCATATGCGAATGGGAACCCGTAAGACTGGTCATATTCCTTTGTTGCGGAAACCTATTTGCGCTACAATTTGCCTGTGGATAAACAAACAGGTAGAATCACTTCATGTGTTTGGTGTCGTTAGTGGCTTATTAATTATTAAATACATGCATATTTAGATAAGCGATATATGTCTTTGGTTATTTTTTAAAGCATAACAACATCATAAGAAGCACAAGAACGATATTCATCCCATACACATACTGGGCAGTTTCTACTTTCATCATTTCTCAACAGTCGTAGCCCATTTAAACTTTAATGAAACTTATCAAAGTTTTAGTTCTGAATCATGCATAAAGACACTTTTCTTGCTCCAACAAACGCATATATTTTCTATAGCGGTTACATAACAACCAATAAGTCACAAATGAGACCTACGGGCACTGGCATTTGGTTCCCATGGAGGCGCACTGTCTGGTGTTCATGGTAACGAGGCCAGGAATGGCAATGAGTCCAACCAGGAAGAAGATCCCCATGACGACAAGGGAGATAATGCTGAACACCATGTGAGTGATGTACTGGAGACAATAGAACACCATGTGAGTGATGTACTGGAGACAATAGAACACCATGTGAGTGATGTACTGGAGACAATAGAACACCATGTCAGTGATGTACTGGAGACAATAGAACACTATGTGAGTGATGTACTGGAGACAATAGAACACTATGTGAGTGATGTACTGGAGACAAAAGAACACTATGTGAGTGATGTACTGGAGACAACAGAACAACATGTCAGTGATGTACTGGAGACAATAGAACAACATGTCAGTGATGTGATGGATGTAATGGAAGATATAGAGCACTAGAGCATATACTGAGCAGTGTGAACAGATAAAGAACCGTCAATTGTGTTCACTGTTCAGGGGTCATTGATCCGTGTATGTTTTATTGACTTGTCACAGCGATCGTTGATTCTGGCTTCCGTCGATATACCATTATGACATCGTGTAATGTCAACAACAGAAGATTTCACTTTTCCGCAATTTGAAGTTAAGATCTTAATTCATCAGTGACCTTTTTGTAGACACATATAAAGGATATATGACAAAATATAACGCCATAGAAGAGTGTGACATTATGGTCAGGTAGCTGTATCGCCCAATATTGCAAAATATAACGCCATAGAAGAAAGCAATGTTAGGGAAGACTCGAGTCGTCAACTTACCACTCCTTTTTGTTTGACGAAGGCGGAGATGAAACCAATCAGGCCAGGGAGCACGTACTGAAACAGCAGAAAACCGTGAAGTGAGACGTCATCCACGTTATAGGAACACTTCATCAACCTTCAGACTTACGTGAAACGTCAACCTTCATGGAAACGTCAATCTACCGTAAAACGTCAAAATTTTAATCTAGGAAACTTCAAACGTCCGTGAAACGTCAACTTTCCTTGAAACGTCAACTTTCTTTGAAACGTCAGTCTGCCGTGAAACGCCCTCTTTCCTTGAAACGTCAACTTTCTTTGAAACGTCAGTCTGCCGTGAAACGCCCTCTTTCCTTGAAACGTCAAACTTCCTTGAATCGTCAATCTTCCGTGAAACGTCAGCCTTCCTTGAAACGTCAATCTACCTTAAGGGCAATCTTCTTGGAAACGCCAACCATTCTTGAACGTCGAAACGTTATTTGAACATCAACGTCATCCTACGGTGAAACGTCATCGGTTCGTGGTCATGAATGTCGAATTACTGTTGAATATATTTAAATATCAACGTCCATGTCCCAAGTTTGTACAAGAAGCATCAGACGGGTGGAGTTGAAATAAGAACTGGGTGTGACAAGCCCAAAAATCAATTTCACTACGAAATTGATTCAGAAGTGTTTTCAACAGAGGACCAGGAACAGACTGCACCAATGACGTACACACTGTGTTCACAGACGAAGGTTTCTAACACAAGGTTTTGCCTCCGATTCGCAGATGTCAGAGAACGCTGTACTCGACGTTGTGGCGAGCGGTATGTCAAGACAATTTGTTCGGTATGGCGACAGTGTTATGATGTGGGACGTAATGATTTAGTTATTGTGAATGGCTATTTGACTGTTACTAGTTACGGTGTCATCCCATTAGGCATACGTCCCACTAGTCATATGGGTTAAAACAACAAATGGTATGGTTGACTGCACAAACAACTACCTTTGTAATACCTTTGGAAATATATAGTGGAATGATCCAAGAAAGAAAAATACAGCGTCACATCAGTGAACTTTAATAATCTGTCTTCATCATGGTATACATACATAATCTGATCTTAAGCATAGTAGACTGACATAACCTGTACATTTAAACAGCATCATTAACACATTATTTTATATTTAAATAACTTCAATAACTTAAATTGACAGTTTCGCAATTAATGGTCAGTTGGGTAGAGGTAGCCAACAACATCCAGAAATTGAACTGAGTTATTCTGGTCTGCAATCGGGGAGTGATATGCTCGAGTCTATAACATTGAACTTTTATGCACTAGTTTATGCTTGTTTACGAGATTGAGTAAACTCAAACTCAGTAAAGTTTAACATTGATTGAATGTTTTGATTATCAACGGTTGTGGTGTATTATGTTCATATAACTTCAATGTCATTTACTTTAATAGCATTCGTTTATATGTTTTCATTATCAAAGACTGTGACATTCTCAGTGTTAGAGATTAAACTAACCTCAAGCTCTCTAATTAGCGGGCTAGTCCATTTTGCGCAAAGGGTATATGGCTGTTGTTGTTTTAACTAATCCCTCATTTGCTGTATGACTAGTGGGCGTATGACTAATGGGACATGACCCTTGTTACTGGCCACTCGGTGTGACCTCTGTTCCGTAATGGTGTGTATATAAAAATATTCACCATCATCATCATATTTGTCACAATATTCTAGCATAAAGAACTTATTCCAATGCGAAACACATGTCCATAACTTGATAATCGAAACTTAGTAAGATCGATGTGTAAATTTCGTATATCTCTCCATGATTTTAGAGTTCATCAACAACGTAAAAGCAAAGTCAATGATAATTCTGATATAGAATCTATTTGTTTACACTGGGATATGAATGTTGTGGAAAATGAATACCATGTTTTCTATATTTGTAATATATATTTTCTTGTCCGTAACGAATAGTTCTTGTCCATCAAAAAATATTGTGAAACTACATTAACATAACAACAAATATTCAACACACCTGATGTAAATATACTACGTGTAACATCTATATATTCCGCACACCTGATGTAAATATACTACGTGTAACATCTATATATTCAACACACCTGATGTAAATATACTACGTTTAACATCTATATATTCAACACACCTGATGTAAATATACTACGTGTAACATCTATATATTCAACACACCTGATGTAAATATACTACGTTTAACATCTATATATTCAACAACACACCTGATGTAAATATACTACGTTTAACATCTATATATTCAACACACCTGATGTAAATATACTACCTGTAACATCTATATATTCAACACACCTGATGTAAATATACTACGTTTAACATCTATATATTCAACACACCTGATGTAAATATACTACGTTTAACATCTATATATTCAACACACCTGATGTAAATATACTACGTTTAACATCTATATATTCAACACACCTGATGTAAATAAACTACGTGTAACATCTATATATTCAACACACCTGATGTAAATATACTACGTTTAACATCTATATATTCAACACACCTGATGTAAATAAACTACGTGTAACGTGTAACATCGATATATTTGCTAAAAATGTTTAGCTTAAGATCTTCTTAATATAATTTTGGTCATGTGGACAACGACTGTATACCTTACAATACAATTGTACTATGGGCCATATGGCCTAAAATACGGAATAAACTTGACTTGACTTGAATGGTGTGTATATGGTGACGTGACAACCTTCTGTGAGCACTGGCAGTTAACTGGAATTCGAATAGATATACGTTCTGCTAATTTCAGTTTATCCAGGGTACAGATGCACAAAACGTTCGTAGCGTTACGACATATCGTAACTGTATATTTTATCGTAGGCTTAGGAATGTCGTGGGGCCACGAACGCTTTGTGGATGGCAACCCAGAACTGTATGACGTCGACACAGATACTGATTTAGGGCACCTAGAGTGTTTGTCTGAACCTGAAATCCCCTAATACAACATTCCAGTCTTAAGCCTAATACAACAAACACGTGGGCCCAGAACCCAGTTTTATAACTACATGTCAGCAAACGAAATGAAATTATTAATCACTTACAAACAGGCCAAGGGTCCATATCGACGATGTCGCAAACCCAAATACCCTGCGATGATGGTTGATGGTGTAAGCGGTGTTGCTGAAGTCGTTTCTCGTGAACTTTCGAAGAAATGCACTCAACACAATGCTGACGATAACACCTGGGGACAATACATGGGTACAACAAATGATGCTTGATAATGGATATCACCGACAATACTACCGGAAATACAGACATCAAATATCCTAGAAATCTAGACAGTTTTATTTAAATAGCCGAATTTCTCTCACTGTTCTAAATAGACAACTGTCAGAATGAACAGACCAATGACAAACAGGCTCGTTGTCAATCAGGCATACTGAACAAAAGTTATGTTTATTCTTCCAATCTCTTAAGATGCAATTGTTTTCATTTGCATGTAGCAGAACATCACAATTCTTGAGATGTCCCTTTCCCTTATCTGTACGAGTGAGTGAGCGAGTTTAGTTTTACGCCGCTTTTAGCAATATTCCAGCAATATCACGACGGGGGACACCAGAAATGGGCTTCACATATCTGTACCCATGTGGGGGTTATCTGTAAGAAGACTCGTTATGCACGAAAAAGACATCAGATTGCTCGTATGGCTTCAGGTGCTTCAGTCAAAGAATTCTTCCGGAATAAGTTAGATTTTACACACGTCTTGTATCTAAACGTATACCCAAGATACAGTTAATCACATCTCATGGACGTCTCTAGGCCAGACCAGAGTTTGTCTCTGGTTTCTGATGCAATTATTTACAAGCAGCCGTCATTTATCCAGAAATTAAAACAATTAAAACAAGAGCACTCGGGATGTTTCGTCATATCATCAAACAGACATCCATCTCGGTCACAGATATGATTTCCGTATCCCCTTACAACATGACACTTAAATGTATGTAATATACTTCCGCAATTGTTGGTCATGATGTCATGAAAGTGTCCTGTCACATGTATACTAGTAGTATTTATAGCTCAAAGTCAGCTCACGTGTTAGTGTACATGGGTCCATTGTGTGAAGCACATTTCTGGTGTCCTCCAGCCGAGATATTGCTGAATATTGCTAAAAGCGGCGTAAAACTAATCTAAACTCACCCTTTCATTCGTTAGTGTACGAAGGATATATGCGTCAGTGAGTGTTGTTTAATGGCCAATTTGAAGTTAAAACGACATTCCTATTACCTGATATGGGTATGAGGTTGCATCATGTATCATCCATTATCCAACATATACATGAGCCTTCGCAAGGCCAACAACTGACCATTGGGATACACGGATAAAATCACCCAGGTCATAGATCTGGTCAGGCACCTGGTCCGTTGATGTGACAATGTACCATAATAAGTTAAACATTTCATTAATCCATACCCACCACAGCGATGATTAACTCATTGATTATACAATGTCTTCATTAAACTGGTCTTGCATAACTTGCCCTTCAAATAGGTTTCTAGAACAGGGTCTCCTTTCACACAGCACTAAGGTGATCGTAAGTCACTAAGGTGACCTTAGTGCAATGTTAAAGAATGGGAGTTAACGTTAACCTTGGTAAAGGTTGCTTCGTGAAAGGAGCCCCAGATATGAATAAATATTTGCCACCTTAATCATGGACAAACGCAATGAGCTAGCAGTCATTTCTTCTACTTCCCATTCTTTTCAATTCATGAATTTCAGAAAATAACACAAGTTATCTTAATCTAGACGGACATTGGCAATGTTTTTAACGGCTCATCTGATAAATATGTAAAAGTGCACAAGATACACCATTTAATATCTACATGTACAATCGTCGACTTCCTCTCGTTCAGTCATCTACTATCTAATAGTTTCTCTACCTGAATTGGGGGCGGTGGGGTAGCCTAATGGTTAAAGCGTTGGCTCGTCACGCCGAAGACCCGGGTTCGAATCCCCACATGGGCACAATGTGTGAAGCCCATTTGTGGTGTCCCCCGTCGTGATGTTGCTGGAATATTGCTAAAAGCGGCGTAAAACTAAACTCAGTCAGTCAGGCAGTCTACCTGGATTGCAATAGCACGCTAATGTACGAGCATAGGTGTTTCACAGCACTGGTCATTATCGCGGTCACTGAAGCTTCTTTACTGAATGAAACGAGATCTTAGATACCGATTATCTGGGGAATTCTACTTTGTAAAGATAGAGAGAGTATTACACGTGTGTTTTCACCTTTTTTTCTATTCCTATCATAATTCTGGTCAAAACATATTATCTGTATGACGGCTACAGCGAGGACTATGTGGTCAGGATCGATGGTTGATGGGTTGATCGCTCTTCATCATGTCAATCACGTGATGGTCTGATCCAGAATCGATTCTTTACAGACAGGGTTAACGTTGGATAAATGTAGAACATGGCAATAAGCAACAGACAAATCCAGGGAACATATGGCACGTTTGGCCTTTTTTGAACAGTAATCAATTTGTCGATAATGGAAGATTATGTAATACGATAATATTCAAACCATAAAAATAGCGACAAGAACATATCCAATATCATAAGAAATTTCTGATGAAAGTAGAATTTCATTATGTTTTCAGACTAAGAAATATTATGCAGCAGTGAGGAGTTGGATTGTCCTGGCCCAGGCTTGTAAGGCTCATCATCAGCTCACGGGCGGTGGGGTAGCCTAGTGGTAAAAGCGTTCGCTCGTCACGCCCAAGACCTGGGTTCGATTCCCCACATGGGTACAATGTGTGAAGCCCATTTCTGGTGACCCCCGCCGTGATATTGCTGGAATATTGCTACAAGCGGTGTAAAACCAAACTCACTCACTCACTCACTCATCATCAGTTCAGGGACCCTTCACCCACCCCTCCCCCAACCTACAGCAGGACAGACAGCAAATGGGGCGTCTTCCAGAAAGCGCTGCTTTGTCAAACCGACCAAGAACTCTTATTACTATGATTATTTCATTATTATTGTAGTTGTTGTTGTTGTTTTATGATGAATATATTATGGATGAAAACCAAAACGAACGATCAACATCCTGTTTTAACACGGAAATTAACTATTCAACAAGGAAGTTAATGTTCTCGCTACTTTGTTAAAATGGATTACTTACTTCGAGTCACAATAACCTATGCTGGCAGAGACGATTGACGATATCACAGAGAGGCAGGGTCACTTTACAACACAGAGCAGTGTGGAGAGTTATAAACTATTCATTGATAACTGTTCTCTTCATACCATACGTTTTAAATCATTGAAACCTGTGGCATAAGTGCACTTCTACCTTAAAACAAGTAAATACAGTACGTTAAAGTATACTTGAAGACTTCATTAACAATTCTTTTCGTACTCTGGGTCCCAACCACTGTTCGTGGGGACTCTGGCCACTGTCCGGCTTCGTGGGGACTCTGGGTTGGGAGACCACTGTCCGGCTTCGTGGGGACTCTGGGTTGGGAGACCACTGTCCGGCTTCGTGGGGACTCTGGGTTGGGAGACCACTAGCATGTGCTGACGAGGAAGTTTTTTTCCAATAAAGAATGCCTATGTATATGTTTTACTGGATGTTCATACTCACCAAGAACCAAGACAGTAACAGATATTACTCCGTTGGCAACGTTTTGTCCGTGTCTGGTCGCCATGTTAGAATACTGTGATGTGTGAGCGGCGCTCCGGACAGTTTGGCGAACTGATCTGACAGGGAAGTTGAATCCGGAATGATCTGCTTATGAAAGGTTATAGCACTTCGTTACTGTTCGCTCCTTTCCGTAACCATGTATATATTTCCTCATAAGCCAATCGTCAGCTCTCGCTAATTTCCGTAGCTAACAAAAACAAACTTCGAACGACTTTCGACCTCTTCCCAAACTAAGGAGTATTACCTTAATGAGGATGACGTCATTTCTGCCGTAAGTATTGTTACACGATATGAAATACTCGTTCAACACTAACCAGACGTCGTGTTTCCATGGTACTGACTGGCATTTTGAGTCGCCTGCAAGTTCGGACTCTCAAAACTCAGAATACCTTTTAAAGTAGATAGCTGCTTTTGAGTGGACATGTATATCATTGGTGATATCAATGTTCCGAAAAGCGTCCTTGGCAACTGGTATTTTGCAGAATATCCTCCGGAAATGTTTTTACTCTATGGAATATGGATTCTTTAATATCGATTACAATTTTATCATTCCTTATTGAGACCTTGAAACTCCCGGAACTATTTTCGAAAATGTTCGCACCACATTCTCGTGATTTTGTATCGGGTGTGACCTCCACGGCCCTGTATTGACAAGGACGTAGAAAGCTGAAACTTCTATCAATTTCCGGACTGGGTATATATTCATCATGTTTGCTTCATATGAGTCAGCAAGGAGAGACATATTAAATCTTTGTAAGGAAAATCTGGGTTCATATAAAGTGGAATATGTATTACGTTACTGAGTAAGTGAGTGAGTTTAGTTTTACGCTGCTTTTAACAATATTCCAGCAATATCACGGCGGGGGACACCAGAAATGTGCTTCACACATTTTACCCATGTGGTGAATCGAACCCGGGTCATCGGCCAGACGAACGAACGCATTAACCACTAGGCTACCCCACCGCCCCGTCATGATGTTGAAAATAACGATTTGCTCATTCTGTGTTTCAGCATTACATGTCTGACCGATTCATTTTTGCGCCATCAGGCGGTGTACTCGCTGATTGTCATCAATGGTCAACATTTTGACAGCGAAAGTGTTCATAAGATTAATTGACATTTAAACAATCATTGTGTACTGCTCACATTCAAAATCCACGTGAGTGCCACAAATACGCTGATGTCAGAACTATATGGCGTGCATTAACGCCCACGTGCAAGTTGAGAATCGTGACCTGTCGAGCATATAACGTTTTGAATCACGTGGAAATAGTGAATGTTTAATTTTAGAATACATATATTTTTATTGATCTGTTTCTTTTCCCGCTAGAATATTACAACCAACAGCAACAAATACATGTGTGTATGGAAATATGCGATGACATTGCCCAGAATTGTGTTGTTGTTTGTTTGTTCATCTTTAGTAAGGCAGTATGTAACTACACGTGGCTGAACCACACAATTCATTGAACATAGAACATTAACATATCTATATTTGTAATGAGGCGCACAACTTTATGGACAAGAAGTTGGATAGAGAGATGTTTCGGTGCAGGTATTTACAACGTTATCAAGGTAAGCTTTATCCACCGTGTTGTATGCTTCATTATTGACGCACCAACTTGTAGAATGCCGATCAAACAATTCATATCTATGTTTGGCAAGGAAGATAACTGATAATATTATAATATCTTTCGTTTTCTTCCATCGTTTCATGGGCAATATGTGTGACCATGGGGTCTAAGACGAATAGATTTTCGATAAAGTTTCATTGATTAGGGGTGACATCACGAGTTCGAATCCTCGAGTTGGTTCTGATTGTGATTTTGGGTTTGTTTAGCGCATTGGGCCTTATTCAGACAGCAGTTGTAAAGGAACACCTTGAGCTTAATAGAAACAGACCTTCACAAGACTAACATCTGTTGATACAGGTCCTTCCTATGTTGATAACCCCTTTAGTACACCGGTGGCCCAGTGGTTATGGGTCCCAATCCCAGATTCATTCCGATTATTATCGTAATTCTGGATGTAGCGCAAGGATGGAATTTCTCCTCCCGAACGCCGTGTCCAAACTGTGAGGTATTTTCAACACCAAACCACGCACTCCTCCAACATAACGTATGCATGACTTGAATACTTCAGTTATCTACTGAAAATATCCCAGCAAACAAACGTATAATGTTTTACACAAACATCAGGTCAACACGTATCATTTGTTAGCATGAATAAAGTTAACAGCTACCCACTTGGGCGGCCACAACAGTGTAGACTGTGACATTGTGAGAAGCGTTCATACAATCCTAACATCAAGGAACGCATAGGATGACAACGCTTGTTTCCAGCGATTTGAAAGCCTTTTCAGGTGTGACATGGCGGTTGAATTCATCTTGATACCCATGACTTCGTTATGCCACATACGGATCAAGGTGCGTGTGTGTGTCAGCTAGCCGCGACACTGATTGGACGGTTAAATATTGGTAAACAGTCACCGCGCGCTGCTCACATTAACAAACTCACCTGGGAGAGTATCATATATAATCCCAGAAGGGACATTGTCGCGTCGTTGCACTTTAGTGTATTTTGCCACTTTTTGCTTTTTTTTTTGGCTTTTTTTTTGTGAGGATGACAACGCGACAATGTCCCTTCTAGGATTCCATAGTATCATGCTGCAAGCAAGCAAACAAACATCCAGATTGTACGCCCTGCATGTACATGAACGTGCATATTCAGAATCTTAAAGTCGTGGAGACTTTCATAATGCATTCTGTCAGAATTCTGGCATCTTCAAGGAAAGACAAGCGTCGGAGATAAACGTTTATTCGTGAAGGCCGCCAGTACAAGATTCCCAAATCGTGCTGAGATACACGGGATCATACACTGTAGCCTATCGGGACCATTCATTGTAGCCCATCGTAACATCTTCCTTTCTTTACCAAACGAAAATCTGTAATTTATACAAACATACATACATACATACATACATACTAACATTTGTATAGCGCCGATATCCAGCTCAGCTCAGCTGCTCAAAGGCGCTTTGTTTTTCCCTCGTTCACTGGATGTCAATCTCAACGGCACATCGTATTGTCAATCTCAACTCCCTGGGGAGCATACAACTCTTGCAACCAACTAGGCGCACCGAGTTATTGTGGCATTCCCATCCTTACGAGGTACCCATTCACAGCTGGGTGGACTGGGGCACATAGTCACAGTACTTTGTCCAAGTTTACTGCACGTTGCTGTACCCGCAACTGGGTGTTTGCACGTATTCATGTGGCCACCATCTGGTCATATACCAACGGATTCGTGGGTTCTTTTAAGTGCACAGGGTTGTGTACTGTACACTAGGGGTTGTGACAACACTGAAAGAGTCTGCACACGAAGTTGACTCCAAGGTATTTACACAGGTGGGCTCGATCCCGTCACCTCAAGCTCGCTGGATCACTAGCCTGGCGCTTTAGCCAGTTTGCCCACCGCGCCCCCAGTATCCTATACATAGGAATAGTACTGAAGTCACTTTTGCAAGTAATTGCAAGACATACGAGTCCTATCCTTAGGACTACTGTTTGGAGTATATACAACTGCTATAACTGTACCTAGTAACCGTAACTGTCCTTTTGATCAAAGAGTAATTTAGATTCCCGGAACAAAGTCTTTCCGACATGCTGGTCTCTTCACCAATCGCCCTCTTGAGGTCTGCCTTTCAGGCGTCGCTGGAATTGGTTGTGTCTGGTTATTGTCTCTTTGGGGTGTGGCATTATCCACTAATCGAGTTCCGGGAGACTTTCCCACCACTGGTATGGATATCTGTGTTTTCTTAGGTGTTTCAGGAGGTGCAGTTTCATTGATGTGTAGTTTTCTTGGACTGATCTCTTTCCTTTGTGGATGTGTCGACGACACGTCAGCTTAATGTTGTCTAGGTGTGTACTGGGGTTGGGAACATCTCAAGGAAGTAGTGTCGTCGAATTGTCCCGGGCATGCTCGAAGGTATCTACGATTGCGTCAAAATTGTCTGTCATCTTCTGTGCGAATCTGGTATGATCGCATATCAACCTGATCTTCAACCTTAGTTTTTATCCACCTCCACTGGCCTGGTGGCTGGAATCGTACTACCCCTACCTTTTTTAGGGAAGGGAGTTCTCTTGATTACCAGTCGTAGTAGGACATCTGCATTGATTTCTTTCCAGCCCACCTCTCTCTAACGTTGTTTGGAATTTCTGACTTCAGGAGTTTTCTTGATACCGGAATCAGGGTCCTTGTCCGCCTGCCGAACAGTCTTTGAACAGGTGAGGATTTTATAGTCTCTGATGGAATGTTTCTCAATTCCAGCAGTGCCAAATACGGGTCCCCTTTGGCTTCCTTCGACTTCAAGAGCAAGGTTTTTGCTATTTTCACAGTACTCCCTGCCTTACCAGGAGACTGAGCATATTTGGGGGACTTTGTCACATGTTCCATGTCATAGTGTTCTGTGAAGTCATAGAAGTGTTGTGAATTAAATGGTGGACCATTGTCTGTGATAATTTTGTCTGGCAGTTCATGCCTTGCGCAATGAGCTTTGATCTTTTTTGATTACTTCCACAGATGTCCTTTTTCAAGTCTGGGTCCACAGAAGAATACCTAATTATATACATTCTATTGTCAGGCTCCTATACAGAAGTCAGCTATCTGAATTTAATGGGGTTAAAATCCATTCCTCACCTTACTTGCATTAAAACATTTCAGCACTGCAACAATAAAAAGTAATCATGGCAGCTGCTGGGAAGCTCTACAGTGACTGATCATAGGTCCTTTTTGGTTGTTTGTCCAGACTGTTTCTGTCTTAAGCATCCCTGTATTTCTGTGTGACTTGTGTGTAACCTCTCCGGATGATCATGTATCTGGCTGAGGTGGCATTAAAACATTTCGCATGCAACAATGTATTACCAACCTTTCTGTCTTGTAACCTCTCCATGATCATGTATCTGGCTGAGGTGGGTATTACCAACCTTTCTGTCTTGTAAATAAGCCCATTCTACAGGGACAGTTCCTCACGGAAAGTGTGATATGTTTTCAAGTTCGGTTGCAATGGTTTTTGAACATCTGACCATCCCTTCTGGATTAATTCCATCAACTCACACATGTCATCATCTCCCTGAGATGCCAACTGTAGTTCCCACAGACAGCTATCAGACACTGCAACATGATCTGCCATGTTGATGCTCTGAACATCTCGTTCTACTTCCGTTTGAAATATTTCTTCCCTTTCACTTTCCTTGTCCATGTTTGAGACATACGCTCTTCTCATTCCCTTTCTTGTACACCAGATCATGCTCATATTTCTGGATTCGCAACAGCATTCTTTGGAGTCGCTTTGGTGCTGACATCAGACTTTTCTTGTGTACTGTTGTCAATGCCAGGTGGTCAATCTCAACTGTGATATGTCTTCCATAGACATATATCTCGAAGTCCGAATGCTATCGCCAGCATCTCTTTTTCTATTTCTGCTTAGCCTTTCTCTGTCATCGTAAGTGAGTGAGTGAGAGAGCGAGTTTAGTTTTACGCCGCACTCAGCAATATTCCAGCTATATGGCGGCAGTCTGTAAATAATTAGACCAGACAATGAAGTGATCAACAGCATTAGCATCGATCTGCGCAGTTGGGAACCGTTGACATGTCACTTCACTGGGGTAACATCCTTGTCGACGTATAGGTGAAGTGGTTCCACCAGGTGTCCCTCTCCCTGAAAGACATCTTCATATTCTGCTAGCACGTCCGTGTCGTCCTGCAGGTCAATTTTAGCAATGTTGTGATTGTTCACAGTAATCAAGTTCATAAACTGAACAGCTCTTACTTAAACCCGGGATTGGCTCATAGTCTTCATCTATTACAACGGATTGTACTTTGTATACTTTGTCTACCTGCAATATTTGTGGTCACCGTGGTTTGAGTTCAGCCTTGTTGTACATGACTAATGACGCTGTAGTATACTGCAGGTTTTGAAGATGACTATCTCCAGAAACTTGTATGTTCTGACTGGTGGACATTGGGTGTGGCTCCACAATCAAGTTGAAAGTTCATAATATCCCACCCCACCCCACCCTGGTCATATTAGCATGTAACTTCTTTTGATACACCCTGTGCCAACTGTTAGGACATACTCATCATCACAATCATAACTGTGTTCATCATAGCCATCGTTGCATGATTTTTCTTCCGGACAATCCTCTTCTACCATTGCATGTAATAGTTGCTTCTTTGCCTTACACATTGATGTATAGTGGTTTCTTCTGTTGCAATTGCCGCAGATGTTTCCAGATGCTGGCCACGTGTATGGCCTACAGTTCTGTCCACAATAATCACAACATTTCACATTCTTCTTATTTGACCTTGACTTTTTCTCGATGCTGGCGTAGCTTTCTGACGAAGTGAATGTCTTCAGGTTATGTGGTGTTCATTGCCTTGGTTTGACAAGCTGACCAGCACGACATGTGTCCGCACACTCTTTGTCCTTAGTGTTGCATCTTTCACATCCACCACGATCTCATCCTTTAACAGCCTTTTCTCCAACTGACTACGAAGTAGTTCACCGGGCGGTGGGTAGCCTAGTGGTTAAAGTCTTCGCTCGTCACACCGAAGACCCGGGTTCGATTCCCCACATCGATACAATGTGTGAAGCCCATTTGTGGTGTCCCCTGCCGTGATATTGCTGGAATATTGCTAAAAGCGGCGTAAACGTAAAACTAAATTCACTCACTCACTCACTCCCTAACATCGTGATTGAAAGCAAAAGAATCGATGAATAAATAAGTCAGTAAGCAGAAAATGTAGACATTTTAATTTATATGCTGACAATCAGGATTATGATCTGGTCCCTCAAAGAGATCGTAACTCCCATATCTAACACAGCCTTAAGCTTGTCGTAGCGCTAAGATCGTATTGTGCAGGCGGGCCCAGGTGTGCAATTCTATCAGCCATCTTTACACTACCAAGCCTGCTTACACACGAATCTATAGGCATGACACACGCGGATATGTATTTAACAATGATTGCCGACAAACGTTTGAAAGTCAGAACCACACTATGGCATTACCTAGATTGTGTGTACTAACGACTTTGATCAGGGTGTAATGTTCATGTGTTTACTTTTCATGTTTATTACAGGTTTTATACTTGGTGTAAACGGTTATCGGATGGAAAGTCGTATTTTATGGCGTTAGAATAACGATATGGGTTGTTAGTGAAACTTCCTTTTATCTCTTTACAACCTTTTTTCTTGGTATTTGCTGCTCGAGTTCAGATTCCCATCAAGTTACTGCTCTGTGATTATCATCGGCATTGGCGGATCCAGGAATTTTGAACCCCCCTTGGCTCCGCCAACGCAAATTTGTATTTTTGCAATGTGGTCTTAAGTCATTTTCGACACACACAAAAAAGGGGGGGGTCGAACCCTCACACACACACACCCCTGGATCTGCCACCGATCGGAGTCCCCATCAAGTTACTGCTCTGTGATTATCATCAGGGTCCCCATCAAGTTACTGCTCTGTGATTATCATCGGGGTCCCCATCAAGTTACTGCTCTGTGATTATCATCGGGGTCCCCATCAAGTTACTGCTCTGTGATTATCATCGGGGTCCCCATCAAGTTACTGCTCTGTGATTATCATCAGAGTCCCCATCAAGTTACTGCTCTGTGATTATCATCGGAGTCCCCATCAAGTTACTGCTCTGTGATTATCATCGGGGTCCCCATCAAGTTACTGCTCTGTGATTATCATCAGGAGTCCCCATCAAGTTACTGCTCTGTGATTATCATCGGAGTCCCCATCAAGTTACTGCTCTGTGATTATCATCAGGATCCCCATCAAGTTACTGCTCTGTGATTATCATCGGAGTCCCCATCAAGTTACTGCTCTGTGATTATCATCGGAGTCCCCATCAAGTTACTGCTCTGTGATTATCATCAGGATCCCCATCAAGTTACTGCTCTGTGATTATCATCGGAGTCCCCATCAAGTTACTGCTCTGTGATTATCATCGGAGTCCCCATCAAGTTACTGCTCTGTGATTATCATCAGGATCCCCATCAAGTTACTGCTCTGTGATTATCATCGGAGTCCCCATCAAGTTACTGCTCTGTGATTATCATCGGAGTCCCCATCAAGTTACTGCTCTGTGATTATCATCAGGATCCCCATCAAGTTACTGCTCTGTGATTATCATCGGAGTCCCCATCAAGTTACTGCTCTGTGATTATCATCGGAGTCCCCATCAAGTTACTGCTCTGTGATTATCATCGGATCCCCATCAAGTTACTGCTCTGTGATTATCATCGGAGTCCCCATCAAGTTACTGCTCTGTGATTATCATCGGGATCCCCATCAATTACTGCTCTGTGATTATCATCGGGATCCTCATAAATTACTGCTCTGTGATTATCATCGGGGTCCCCTCAACTCACTCCATGCCTGACCTACCTACACCACAAGTAAACCTGTGATTCAGCCTCCATTAGCCTGTACACATAAAGTATCAATCCTGTATCTTGATACTGTAACGGACTCTCGTGTGAGTGACATAGCGAGGAGGGCGTCACAGTGATTCACCGGGCTCTACAGAGAGACGTTCGGACGGAACAGACAACCAGAGTTTGACACGGATGAAGAAAAAAATCGAATTTAATAAAACAACATCGCTGACTTACAAGCAACCAAAGTCTCTTCAAACAGTGGGAACCGTAAATCAAATATCCAACTGAACAAAACACAATTACAAATATTTTCTGTCTCTAGAAAATCGAAACTTTTTAAACAAAGCAATATATTAAACTTGAAAACAATCAAAAGGAAACCCTAACCAAAAAAGAAGATCTTTTTTCTAAATCGTTTTACCATAACCTATACACGAAAAAACCATGCGAAAAAGTGAACCTAACAGAAATGCTTAAAAACATAGACCTACCAAAGCTATCAAAAAAGCTATCAACAAGAAAATCTAGAAGGACAATTAAGATATGAAGAAGTATTAAACAGTCTTAAAAAATGAAAAATGAAAGAAGTCCTGGCTCATCGGGTTTCACTGTTGAATTCTTCAAAAAATTTAGGTCCAATATTCACGAGTTTCTCATAAGATCATTAAATTTAGCTTACGAGAAAGGAGAATTGTCTTTGAATCAAAAGCAAGGCATTATAACCTGTTTTCCAAAAAAAGGTAAATCCAAACATTTGCTTCAGAATTGGACACCCATTTCATTGGTGAATGTAGCGTATAAAATCGGATCATCAACCATTGCAAACAGAATAAAAACAGTCCTACCCTCTATAATAAATGAGGATCAAAAGGGTTTATGTCAAAAAGATATATTGATGAGTGTACTTGCCTGATATATATTGACTATCATGAATATATATACTGAATATTATATATGATAAATACCAGGAATTCTACTTCTTATTGACTTTGAAAAGGCATTCGATTCTGTTGACTGGCATTTCAGTCAAAAAGTTCTTCTATTCTTTAACTTTGGACCATCGATTACAAGATGGATAAATACCTTCTTTAATAACATTCAATCATGTGTTGCTGTAAATGGTTTCCTTTCAAATTATTTCAATATCTCAAGAGGATGCAGACAAGGAGATCCCATCTCCCTTATATTTTTATACTGTGCGCAGAAATTTTGGCAACAATGATTAGAAATAATAATGAAATAAAAGGAATACAAATTGGAGATACAGAATAACTAGTTTCCCAATACGCTGATGATACTTCGTTGATACTAGATGGCACTGAAAAATGTTTACAGGCGACACTAGAAATTCTTAGTACATATGCCTCATTTTCAGGCTTAAAAATAAATGTAAACAAAACACAGGTATTATGGATAGGCTCAGAATAAAACTCTAGAAGAAAATTTTGTTGAAACTGGAATTTAGACTGGAAGAGTGACTCGTTTACACTATTAGGAATTGTATTTACTAACAACATCGCAGAAATGGTTGAATGCAACTATAAAGATAATCGTAAAGTACCTGCCCTTGATTTTCATAATTACTCTACCCAGCAATAAAACTTCGAGGTAATCTGAAGAGAAATGGATAGGGAAGACTACAATAACACGTCTTCCCCACCCAAGAGAATATTTAAGCATCTGACGAGAAACAGCAGTTGTACTTCAAGACCCACATGCTCCTTCTCCAGGTGCACTAGATGATGCGGGGATGATGGGGGATCTCAGGATGACGATGTTCACAGGCTGTGAAGGAAGTGTTGAGTCAGTTTTAACAGGTAAATCACGACATGTCAGATCTGTGAGCGAGACAAGCCTTAAAGGCCGGGGTTCAAACCTATACACAGATGGGGTGTGGCCTCGTCAAAGCTGTCTTTTGATGCAAAGCGCTGCAGTATTCAAGTACATTCAATGAAATATCACAAAATTGTCTTACCAGTTCAGGCTGATATTAAGTCATAGTATGAAGAAGTATGTTATGAAGACTCACAGCAAAAGTATGGATGCAGAGAGTCTACAAAACATACATTTTGAAAATATATTTCTCATTTTTAAATACAGATTTGAATTTCCCACTGTGTCAGTCAGGTGGCCAGAGGAGGTGCGTTTCCATAGAAACAAGCCTTGGAGTAGGGAAATGTATCATTCAGGGTTTCATATTTCAGGCAGGGTGGGAAAATGCCCCCCTCCCCCACTCCCCTGACACCATGCTGTGCAGGGCTAGGGTTGTAAACTTATCTGATGCTGACATCTCTTTGCTGAAGATTGTAAATTCAGAATATCAGTAAAATTTGATGTTTCATATATGCTAATCAAATTAGTCTCTTTAGTCATCAAAATATGAAGTGAAAGGGTTGCTGGATATTTACCATAAGGCATATGTTTATTCCATTCTCTTCCCACAGAGGTTACTCCTGTCATATCTTCCTACGTAACCTCTGTTCTAATACGGCCATATTTCCCGGTTCTCGTAAAATCCCCTAGCGGCAAAAGATTGCAACACGAATTATCTCCCTTCTTTCTATCCAATCAGAACACGTGTTACATCGACTTAGATTCAACTTGACTAACACAAGCAAATGTGGGGCCCCAAATATCCCCCCATCTGCCGGGGACTTGTGTTGATGTTACACACAAGACGTTTAATGGCTAGTTTGTCCGTTGTCAACGGGGGCGATGGAGACGCCACTGACCCGCCATAACATGACTGAGTTCTGTCTAGAAGAAACGTTTGCGCATCGCGCAGGGGAATAGGTTTAGTTTCCTGGAAGCATACGGAAATTACCGAGGCCTTGCGAATGATCACTTTTGAAACAACGTCGCTGATTGCACAACTAAATCTGATTGCCTCCAATCACGAGTCTTGAACGCTCACACCATGAAAGGGCCGTATTAGAACAGAGGTTACGTAGGAAGATATGACAGGAGTAACCTCTGTGGGAAGAGAATGATGTTTATTCTAGTAGTAAATTCCAAGGTTAACCTTAGACATCGCCAGGCTCTTGCCAGGCACCCATAGCCGTTACAGCCTTGTCACTCACGGGCTGATAACATCTTCACCGCTGAGGAGTAGCAAATGGGGGGACTATTTGGAAGTTTTGGAGGTTTGCGCCCCGGCCTTAAAGTGGTTCAGCTTTTGGACCTACATAACTGTAGTGAAAGCACCAAGCATGAGTAAGGTCCTGACAAACTCAGTGTCAGGTATGACCAACAATCCACTGGGTGTGATGACAGACAACCCACTACGCCCTACAACCTTACCGACCGGTACGTCGCGGCCTACGACATTGTGTCTGTGGACGTGTTTTAGAGTACAATGACACAGCGATTGGTCTGTTTAACGCCTCTTAGACGGTATTGAGTTATACCACAGCGCCTCGTCGAATGGAAGTGGCGCAGGCTGTAGATGTTCAGGTTGCATGGACCATGTTAAGAAGCCGCTAAGGTTACACAACACCAAATGTTTTCCCATAGACTTCTATAGAACCCTTTTATTTTTGTTTAAATCATCCAGGCTATCAACAGTCATTCCAGGTACACATGGCTACAGTCAGGCCTTCAAACTACAATAAAACACAATTTCTGGCCAAATTGTCCGGCTCATTTTCCCAGCACAGGAAGCGGAACACATCAACCCCAGTTCCGCACCAAATGTCACCTACTGAAAAATATCTGTACACACAATAAGCATAAGTCATGTGATAAACATCACAGGACTAAATACTTAAAATTGTGGTCAGTTTTAATTACTGGATGGATGTGCTTTTAAAAAGCATAAACATCTCACACTATTTCATCCAATCACAGCTGTCACATGTCTCTGTCTCTTCAGTTGTTAACATACGGCTCTCGCTCAGGGAGCATGTGATTCTGATTTAGTGTAGTGGAACACTTACCTCGCGTCAGCGACTGAGGATGCAAGACAGAACACTGCCGACAAGGGAGAGAACCCATGCTGCGATAGTGAGGAGTACCAACACGAGAATGCTGGCGTTGTCGCTGTGCCAGACGTCACAGGGCATTGGTGCCGACTTGGAATTCCTGTGAAGTCCCATGGAAGTTTACGTTATTGTTGGCAGTATTTCTAAACAGCTATATCCAATGTACGCATGATAAATATACAGGTAGAATCACTTTATTCCTTCAGTATCGTTTGTGACGTATTAAATACATACATATTTACATAAGCGATACATGTCTTTGGTTATTTTTAAAACGTCACAACATCATAAGAAGCACAAGAACGATATTCATCCCATACACATACTGGGCAGTTTCTACCTTCATCATTTCTCAACAGTAATAGCCCATTTAAACTTCAATGAAACTTATCAAAGTTTTAGTTCTGAATCATGCATGAAGACCCTTTTCTTGCTCCAACAAACGTACATATGCTCTATATATAGACGGTAACATAACAACCAAAAAGTCACAAGTGAGACCTACGGGCACTGGCATATGGTTCCGTGGGAGACACACTGGCTGAGGTCTTCGGTAACGAATTCAGAAATGGAAAGGAGTCTAATCAGGGGAATGGGAGACATGACCACAATCGCTATAATGCCGAACACCATGTGAGTGAAGTACTGGAGAATATAAAACACAATGTGAGTGAGGTACTGGAGACAATAGAACACCATGTGAGTGAGGTAAGGGAGACAACAGAACACCATGTGAGTGAGGTACAGGAGACAATAGAACACTATGTGAGTGAGGTACTGGAGACAATAGAACACCATGTGAGTGATGTACTGGACACCATGTGAGTGATGGAGACAACAGAACACCATGTGAGTGAGATACAGGAGTCAATAGAACACTATGTGAGTGAGGTACTGGAGACAATAGAAATCTATGTGGGTGAGGTAAGGGAGACAATAGAACACCATGTGAGTGATGTACTGGAGTCAATAGAAAACTATGTGAATGAGGTAAGGGAGACAATAGAACACCATGTGGGTGAGGTAAGGGAGACAATACAACACTATGTGAGTGAGGTAAAGGAGACAATAGAACACCATGTGAGTGATGTACAGGAGAAAATAGAACACTACTTGAGTGAGGTAATGGAGACAATAGAAATCTATGTGGGTGAGGCCCTAGAGACAATAGAACAACATGTGAGTGATGTACTGGAGAAAATAGAACACTATGTGAGTGAGGTAATGGAGACAATAGACAATAGAACACTCTGTGAGTGAGTGTACTGGCAATAGAACACCCTAGAGACAGTAGAACACCATGTGTGTGAGGTATGGGATACAAAAGAACACTATGTGAGTGAGGTACTGGAGACAATAGAACACCATGTGGGTGATGTACTGGAGACAATAGAACACCATGTGAGTGATGTACTGGAGACAATAGAACACTATGTGAGTGATGTACTGGAGACAATAGAACACCATGTGTGTGATGTCCTGGAGTCAATAGAACACTTTGTGAGTGAGGTACTGGAGACAATAGAACACTATGTGAGTGATGTACTGGAGACAATAGAACACCATGTGTGTGAGTTCCTGGAGTCAATAGAACTCCATGTGGGTGATGTACTGGAGACAATAGAACACTATGTGAGTGATGTACTGGAGACAATAGAACACCATGTGTGTGAGGTCCTGGAGTCAATAGAACACTATGTGAGTGATGTACTGGAGACAATAGAACACCATGTGAGTAGAACACCATGACAATAGGAGACAATTGAACACTATGTGAGTGAGGTCCTGGAGTCAATAGAACACTATGTGAGTGATGTACTGGAGACAAGAGAACACTATCTGAGGGAGGTACTGGAGACAATAAAACACCATGTGAGTGAGCTACTGAAGACAATAGAACACAAATTGAGTGGGGTACTGGGGAGAATAGAGCACTATGTCAGTGATGTGTGAATGCAGATTTTGTTTTCAATGCTAATTGCAAATTGTTTTCATAATTTTCTTTTCCAAAAGTAGTTTTCTGTCATTTAAATTATATTTCAATTATATTCTAACAAGTTACCAAAAAGCAAGAAGTAATTTCAGTGGTCTTTTCATGTAATCAGTTTTCATAAGAGCCTAGCAGTAAGTCTAGAGAGGTGCTGGGGCATTGTGCGGTCATGTGACCCAAAGCATGTGCAGTTCATGCAATCCAGCCACATGGCATAACAGTGGAGGGCCTCATGGTGTACAGTTGTGTGAATGAAGTTTATTTCGTGTATTTGAGGTTATCTGTCAATTCTGAAGGTTTGAGTAATGACTTATTTTGAGTATTGTATTTTATCATGCTTATGGTTATTGAATAGGAATTTGAATTCTAAAGTTATGTTTGCATTTCATTGCAGAAATAATTCTATTCTCAATTCATGTTTCATTTGAATTATTATTCAGCCAATGTAACTACTAACATAGCAGTAATTATGCCTTCAAGTTATGCTGCTGTAAGTTATTTGTTTGAGAAACTGTTTTATGGTACCGTTTGTCAAAACATATTTAGTAAGGTATTTTTTGTTTCTTTTTTAGTTTCTGAACCTCGCCATTTAATGAACTGGTCTATCTAAAGGCTAATGGAAGAGACCAGCTTTAATGTTACCAATTCATGGATTTGTGTAGTATTGTGCCGACAGTTTCTAACCGTCCCTTGACATGTGGACTTCAATGTCGTCAAGGTTATATTGCCAAATTGTCACCAGTACAACCAAATGCCACAACGTTAATAAATGAACATGACGAATATGCTCCAGTGAATAAACTTTGATAAATGGTGTGAGATTTTCGGATTTGTAGTTCTTGCATCAACACTTAGTTCAGAAAATGGATGAAATTAAAGTATGAACTTGTGCATCATATGGACATTGATGAAATACATTGCATAGTGATAGCTGTCAAGTGGTTGTACATGTATTGCATATTTAACTGAATGTTCAGTAGATATAGTGACAGCTTTGTGCAAGTAATATTTGATCAACATCATGGCAGCAGGTGGCAATTTTGACAATATTGTGGTATCTGGTGACAATCCTGATGTTAAACTCGAGGATCCGGGTCAAGCCACTGAACAGGATCCGGGTCAAGCCACTGAACAGGATCCGGGTCAAGCCACTGAACAGGATCCGGGTCAAGCCACTGAGGAGGATCCAGGTCAAACCACTGAACAGGATCCGGGTCAAACCACTGAGGAGGATCCAGGTCAAACCACTGAGGAGGATCCAAGTCAAACCACTGAGGAGGATCCAGGTCAAACCAGGGTCAAACCACTGAGGAGGATCCAGGTCAAACCACTGAGGAGGATCCAGGTCAAGCCACTGAGGAGGATCCAGGTCAAGCCACTGAGGAGGATCCAGGTCAAACCACTGAGGAGGATCCAGGTCAAACCACTGAGGAGGATCCAGGTCAAGCCACTGAGGAGGATCCAGGTCAAACCACTGAGGAGGATCCAGGTCAAACCCCTGAGGA